TGATTGATATCGAAATTGTTTTTCATGTGCAGAAAGTTAAAATGGTTCACACAGTACTTCCAAAGTTTTCCCTTTTTTCGCACTATGTTGAGGGCCCCGTGAGGCTGTGGGGCTCTAAGCAGCATCAGTTGGATCGTGATGTGGACAGACTATGATGAGTAGATTTTTACAATTAGAAGTATTGAAGAGGCACAGCTAACTTCCAATGCAAAAGAACACGTAGAATTAATTTTAAAGCACTAATTATGACTTAAGGAAAACACTGGAACTTAGAGTTGTGTATGCATCTCATTCATCTTATTTGTATGACCGAAAGAGTTTTATTAGTTGTGGCTTGTGCATGATTTTTAAGTAGATGTCAAATTTATCTGAAAAAGCTCTGTGCTCACAGATCTGATCAGAGATTTCAGCATGCCACCCTTCACTGAAAATACATTTTTGAATCAATTTTAAAAAGGTATTTTCCCACGGAGCATCGCATGGTCTTGTAACATGTCTGTATTGTATAGTGCTGTACAAAGTAAGAAGATTAGATTACTAGACTCTGGAGCATATTAAAGGAGACAAATCTGCCCGTTGTTTAATATTCTACAAGCCTGCTGAGATAAGAGATAAACATTGATAGACAGAGCTTTTCCCTCTGTCTTCTTTATAACTGCTGGGTCTATAAAGGGATCTAATGGCAGAATAAAACTACCAAAACATAAGCTGATTCTGGCTCTCCTGTAGAGTCTGTCTGCATTTAAAATAACGCTGAAAAATGATCTCTGGTTAGCCAGCTCACCCATTTGTTCCACTTGAGGAGGCATTACAACCAAATCCTCTTGAAGGAGTTTAGTTTTAGCTGTTCGAGCCGATGAGGACTTCTCACAGCTTCCTATCCGGAATTCCCTCAGACCACTGGTGGCTGCAGGCGTGTAATTTGTGCCAGATTTGCAATGCCGTATCCACCCTCTGACCTCACTGCAGAGACACATTGTGTATAAACCTTCATGTCTATGTGGCTTTGTCAGAGTATACATGTGGCATAGTAGCAAAAGGTTGTATTTCACACAGCCTTCAAACTTGTAGTGGCTCTATTCGCTTAAACACTTATCTGGTTTCCTCAGTACAGTGAAATTTGCATGGGTGTGCCCTGCCAATCAGAGGGAACATATGCAACTTGACAGAGCACCACTATGAAAGAAGCGGCAGACTTTTAAAAAGGCATTGTCTGTGGTATAACATATTATCTTGCCCTTCACATCAGCCTTGTCCTCTAACAGCACTCTGCTGAGCTCAGAGGAAGATTCATGTTGGAAATATCTATTCAGAGATGTGAAGTATGGAAAGAACATCTTACAAGTCCATCTTGTATGTGAAGTACAAGTTAGAAAGACCTTTTGCAGGGGAGGAAAATAAAAAGTGGTGATGAGTAAAATATTTTTGGCCTCCAAAGGGAGACAAAGATAAAGCCTGATTATCTAACAGTGTCTCAACCATGATGCACAGTATGAATCTGAAGCGAAATATGTGATGAGTCGTCGTGCTGAAGTTCCCATCAACTTGTTTCCCCTCAACACAGTCACAGCCTTAACCCATTTATCTCTGTAACACCCGACCATAAGCTACACTAAGCACTGGCAGAAACACCATTGAAAGGGGAGGCAGACCTCCCAAATCCCACGAAAAGACTAAAACCAACATTGACCCTCTGTCAATACTCTCCGATTTTGCCAGCCTAGTTATGGCTCTCAGCCCTGAACCCATTTGTTTAGACTGATGATATGAATCTATAAAACAGTCACAATTTTGTGATTTCAATTTTAAAATGGCTGAATAATTTCTTAAAACAGCTGAGCGCTGTACATTCCAGTAAACATTACTCAGACAGGAGTAAATAATGTAAAAAATGTTGGGGAGTTTTCAGCTGCAGATTTAATGCTAGTAAGTAGTTATGCAGATTGTATATGGGATCAACTCAAAATAAACTACAGAGCCTGCGTTGACCTTAATAAGTGCAACATTGTGGTGCACTGATGTGTTTTTAATTGTTTTTGAACGACAATGGCGCTCTATGACACAGAGCAATAAAATATATCTGTGAATACACAAACAAGAATTGTTAGCTGAATCTATTCATTGCTGGTTTTCAGGAAGTAAAAAAAATATAGAATAGCACCAGACTTGTTCTTTAAAGGGACGTAAAGGGCGGCATTACCTGGCTCTCTTGACATTTATGTAAATGTGTCAGCAGCAGAGGAGAACTGAGCAGAGCAAGAGAGAGTCTCCATTGCTCTATGTTATTGTGTGTAAAGAACAACAGGACATTAGTGAGTGAAACAGTGGTCCGACACCCTTCAGCAGTGCTGAGCAAAAGTAGATGAGGAGCAAAGTAACTGCTGCCCAACAGAATTAAGTAGGCTCGATCTGATCGGCTGTGCTGTAACTATACCGTACTTAAGCCACAACAGTTTGAAATTTTTCTTTCAATGGTGTAGTTCATTACTAGGAAAAGACACAAAAAAATTCTTGATCTCTCAACATTTTAATGGTAAATAGCGAGAAATTTCACTCAAGTCAGGGGATCAGCAAAGTCATTAGGGTTCATCCTCTGGGCACCATGAATGTCAGTACAAGCTTTTATATGTTGAGAGGTTTCACAAAATAAGTGACAACTTCAACCAGCTGGTGGCGCTAGAAAAAAAAAAAGTAAGAGGATCACCAAAGTTATAAGGATTCATCCTCTGGGTAACATGAACATCTTTACCAACTTTAAAGGCAATCAGTCCAACGGTTGTCGAAATAACAGCCAGAAACGTCAACCTCATTGTGGCCATTTGATTTCATTCTCTGGAGATGATGAATGTCTGTACAAAATTTCATGACAGTCCTATCTCGTAAAGTGATGGACCGTCAGACCGAAATAGCCATCCATAATGGCGTCTAACAGCACAGACACAGAAAACCTCTCACACCTCTGGCTCTGTGGCTCAGACAGAGCTGCAGTTCTCAGAGATTTACATTTACATTTACTCCTTTGGCAGACACTTTTATCCAAAGCGACTTACAACACTTAAGATCTCTGAAGCACAACAGCACAGACCTCAGTGGGGGGCAAACCCGATATGCTGTCACATCATGACTGTAGATAAATGGATCCACTTCTTGCGGACACAAAAGACCGTCTCAAACTTCCATGAAATAAGAGAGTTGTTGTAAGAAAAATTCAACTTCTGTCTATAGTTCCAAGTCAAGATTCTCGCTCTCTCTCTCCCTCTCTCTCTCACACACACACACACATGCACACACACAGTAAATGTAATCAACCATACAGTAACAGATACAGTAACAGAGAGTGTGTGAGACTCATGTGACATATGGCCATGTAATTTGTTGGCTGACAGTTCAGGGGGTTTGTTATTGCTGGATCATCAGATATCATAACAAAGCAAAATGAGTTAGTGTTTCTTTAATAGCTCATAGTATTTTTTAATTAAAATGTATGAAGTCAAATCTCTGGAGAGACTACCTTATTTTAGCTAATTGAAATATTCACACAGCCCTTGGCACTGCAGATTCCTGCGTTTGGTTCATGTCCTTTGGAAGACCTCGGTGCTCCTTCAGCAGACAGTTTTGGTGTCTGATGTCTGACTGTTGATGCAGCTGAGGCACACTGAAGTGGTTGGAGACTTGTGTCTGCTGATGTGGCTTTGAGGGACTAAATTACCCATTTGCCACCGCTTTGTTTTCTTGAACTCAGGGCAACGAGTAAATAAATCCCTGCCATTCCAGGATCATCTGGTCAGTGTTTATTTACTCACACTTAACTTTCTCCTGCTGCCTGACCTGTGATCCTCAGTATGAGCCAAAAGCAGCATTTAATATGGGGACATGACAGTAGGCTTAAACAACTTTGGATACTGTATTAACTCTACCCTGCTGAGAAATAGTGACATAAGGTCAAACATTAAGTCAGGCTTCCTGAAAAAGATATGCAAATTAAAGAACTTCTTACATTTGACTTTTGACCATTTACATTGGAAATTTAAGAGCTGGCAAATCAAAGAGAATTTACATACACATCCACTGCACATGTTCTCCGAATGCCTGCCCAATCATGTTAAAGATGTTCAGCAAAGTCCATTTTGGTCTGGACTGTATTGGTGTGGTTTACCAGCCAACAAAAACAAACCACAGCAGGTGGCAGCATCATAAACATGTCAAACTAACACAAGACAGTAAACTGCAGCAAACTTTACTCCCTCAATGCCATTAGAATAGAATCAATAGAATCTGTATAATCTGTGTACATTTGAATTTGACAAGTTTATAATCAAGTGCATAACCCAGAAACATTCATTTTATACAAGAGGAGATTTCACTGCATCCTGTACATACGGTCTTCACATACAGTCTTCCTTTTGATATGCTAACCTGCTGCTAACACTTCTTTACTAAAGTAACATTATGAATGACTGACTTTAACTTGTAATGGAGTGTTTTTATTAAGCTATGCCACATGTCTACTTTTATTTTGGTAAAGGATCTGTATATTTCTTCCACCACTGACTACAGGTACAACGTACTGCTATACTGTGTCTTGCAGTACTACAGTCTTCAAAAGTTCTTATTCTACTCTTTTTTTAAAAAATTTTTTTTAATTAAATCTGTTGCTAATTGCTTGAAAAGTGTGGAACTAAATTGCCAAAAAAAAAATGCCAATGTTTCTAACATGTCTGGTAGTCACACACAGTTTGTGGCTTCCAGTGATATAAGAATCACTTTATCTGTTCATGCATCACTGTAATATTAATGTAGGCTATAATCATTCATTTGTGATTTGTATTAATAACATTTAATCATATTTATGTTGAGCTATTGCTTGTGTATAGTCTTTTCAGCAGTTGTTGAGCGGCTACTGTAACAGTGAGCTGCTGGCAGCTCCTCCCATCCAGCTATAAGAGCCCAGCTGACCAGGTAGTCAGGCCAGTGAAAGCTGACTTATGAAAACACGGTCAGCGTATTAAAAACGTCTTTTTTTTCACAGGTGGTTTTACGCAGCCTTTTGTGCCATATTTGGGATGTATGAAAAGTCCCCGCGTTTGTTTTGGGACTAAATCTAACAGAGGACTTGGAGCTGGGGGGACTGGTGACTTTTAATCATGACTTTTGCCATGCTGCGGCCCGTGGCGACGCACTTAATCTATTCAGACTTCGCTCTCATGTCCGAGGATGATGAAAACCGCAGCGAAAGCGACGGCAGCTCGGAGCAGAGTTACTGCGACTCCAGCGAGAAGCGCAGGAGGATTTCACGCAAACTGGAAGGAGAATCCGCTGTGGTCATGAAGCAGAGGAGCGCCGCTAACGCCAGGGAGAGAGGCAGGACCCAGAGTGTCAACACCGCGTTCACAGCTCTCCGGACTCTCATACCCACCGAGCCGGTGGACAGAAAGCTCTCCAAGATTGAAACTCTTCGCCTGGCGTCTAGCTACATTTCCCATCTGGCCAACGTGCTTCTCATTGGAGACGGCTGCGTCGACGGACAGCCGTGCCTCGGCGCGGTGCATGTGCAAGGAGAGAGCGGGGCGAAGCAGCCGCGGACCATCTGCACCTTCTGCTTGAGCAACCAGAGAAAAGGGGTAAATGCAGTTTCATATCTCCACGGTCAAACGCAGCGGATGCGTTAAATTGATCACAGAACGTGAAACATGCTCATCAGCTTTGAGCCCAGACACGTTATTATTTTTTATTGATCATGCTTTACAAGAGTCTTGTGTGATGCAGCATCTGCCAATGTTTTAAACTTCGTGTTCAAATCGCTTGAACTGGAAGTGTGCAGCGCGTAAAAAGCACTTTTACGCGCTGCACACGTCTGTAAATTCAGACTGTCACACACAGATGGTTGTTTTTTTTTTATACTGGAAGAACTTCACTGTGCCGCAAAACATGATGTAACAGACAACATAGTTTTCAGCTTCTTCTTGCATGTAGAAATCAATGTGACATTAAATGATAGGGCTTTAAATCGGTTGTTCGTTTGCAGACAATGAAAATGAAACATGTCTTTATTTCCCTAGAAAAGAATACAGTGACTTGTGGTGCAGTTAAACTGCTGATGAACCTTCATGTGACTGAGACATTTCTTTCTCTCCAGATAAAAGATGGAAAAGACTGTTTAAAAATGAGAGGGCTGGGTCCACTGCGAATGAGACGCTGACTGAAGACCAGCGACTGATCAGCAACCTGAAAATAATCAAAAGACTTTCTCAGGAGCAATTCAAAGCTTGGTGTACACGACTTAAACACTAAACACCAAACACTAAACACACACACACACACACACACACACACACACACACACACACACACACACACACACACACACACACACACACACACGTAGATGTACACATGCTGGATCAAATGATGGAAGAAAAAGAGTGAAAAGACTATTTATACTTGATCGAGAAATTTAAGCATAAGCCTTTCAAAGATGCAGTGCATTTGTTTGAAACTTATGATTTTTTTGTCCTTTTTTTTCCTTTTTTCTTTTTTGAAAAAGTTTTAAATAAAATATATTTTATCAAAATAAAAGCGTTTTTTTTCTCTTGATTCCTGTTCATATAAAATCAGATTTGTTATATGACAAAAAGAACCACACATGATATAAACAAAGCTGTCCAACTAAATGAAGTTGCTCTTCTTGTGGTGATGACAGGGAAATTAAGTACATGGAGAGTGTATGGATGAAATGGAGAGTAGAAAAAATAGAAAATGTTTATTTCCTCAAAGAATCTTTCGAGGTCTTCTCTGTTTCAGGTTGAGCGGCACTTGAGAAATGTTGCTCTTATTACAAAGAAGCCGCAGAAAGCGACTGTTCTCAACTCAAACACTGAAATTTCTATTAAGAATCTTCAAATTTCTTATTTGACAACTAAAGGTTCAGTGAATGTACAGTGTTCAACTTAAGCTCCCTTTGCAAACATGGATCCTCCTAATCATCAATTTAGAAGGATAAAATGTCAAATTTTTGGTCTTTATGGAAAGATGTCACACCCACACCCACACACACGCACACACATTTCCATTGTTTCCAGTAATGTTGCCAAGTCGTTGTTTATGAAGCCTGCAGAGCCACAGCAAAGGTTCAGGGTTTCTGGTGTCATTGCCTGGTGTGTATTTTTTTTTTTCCTCCAAATCTCACGATTGGTGTTTTTTGAAGTCTGTTATCGATTAGTCACGGCGGCAAATAGTAGCCCACACTCTGCTGGGAGCCCCCAACACAGCTGTTGGTATGTCAGGGGGATAAATCACTGCTGTTGGCCCAATAGACAGGGAGAGATGGGGTGAGAGGTCAGAGGTCACGGTGGAGCACAGAAGTGAAAGCCTTTTGACTTGTAATCGTAGCAAGGCTCATGCTCTTACTATCACTATGGCCATGACAGATAATTACTGTTCTATTTATTTATACGTTTGTTAATTGTCTTGTTATATTTTCTTGCAACACGGCCCCTGCAGCACACAGCCGATTCAGACCACTTGCACTGGAAAATATTTCATAACTGCTGAGAAATGAAAAGCAGCCCGGCCTCTGTAGGCTTCTCTCTGTCTTCTCCAGTCAAAAAAAGTCACTCTAGTGATCGGTCTAACAGGCATATTGCGGCTCAGACACACAAGACAGCTGAGCCCGAGTTCCTGTCTGGCATCGCTTTGAATCAGACCGCAAACTTAGTCCTCAAAATGACAGAGGAGGGCTTCCCGGTGACAGAGGAGGCTGTATGGAAAGAGAATTTTAAGGCAGTAAAAGGTGCATGCTGGGGGTCTGACCCCCCTCTCCCCCCCGCCCCCTACCTCCCCCACCTGCCCTGTCAGGCTAATTGGAATTTGCTGTGCTAAGTTCTCCATGCTCGGGGGCCCGGGCCTCCCCAAATGGCTCCCCGAGGCTCCCCCCGGCAGGAAGATGTCACGGAGGCACAGGAAGGGAAAACAACGCCCAGCCGACCTCTCCGAGGAACTCTCTGTGCGGCGGGCTTTGGGTCAGTGCCAGTCTTGACATCATCCGGCGCTGGGACCCAGATGTACGGCTCTCTGGTGGTACTCCTCAGAGTGAGCGAACCAAATAGTGAGTTTTCAACAAAATCGGAAGGAGAGTTTTTCTTCCCCCCCAAGATGAGAGGTAACAAATTGATGGCAGAGAGCATCAGAAGAGGTGTAGAGGGGGGAGGGAGGCAAAGGCAGCAAATAAGGTCAGTGTGGATCTGTTTAACATGTCTGACAGGCGAGGATCCACCTGGGGACCACTGCAAAGGTTTACAGCTTCAATTTGGTGAGTTTTTCCTCTTCCGTGAACACTTGCATCTCTTAATCCCAACAGAGGTTTTAAGCAGGAAGAATTTCAGCGGACATGAAATGAAGCTCGACTGCAGTTCCACCTCCTGCCAGTTTTGTGACCTGAGATGAAAAATGGCCTTGATAGTCTGTGCGCTATTGTTTTGTGAAAGATATATATAAAAAAATGAGAACAACAGCAGCAAAACACTTGTTACTTTTCTTTATTTTCTATTTCTGCTATATTTCATTGTCATCTCTTTGATGGATGAAGCCTGAATTCACCTTTGTAACTTTATATAAACAACCATGTAGTTAAGTAGCACAGAGACAAAGAGGTCCTTCCTTCTTTCCGGCAGAGTAAAAATCACTGAGTTGAAAATTAAGGTCAGTGTACGACCCACAGAGTACATATTGATTGTTGTGACCCAGTGTCAGTGTTATTTTTCTTTTATTACTGTTGGGTTATTTACTGAAACTCAAGCTCAAGTTTTACCTGAAAACTTTATTGTTAGATGTATCAAACAATATGGTAATATATCAACATGGCAAAGGATACACATATTATTAATCAATCAAAAACACATACTGACATGAATGTTTAAAAAATGAAAAAAAAAAAAAAAAATGCAAATAACCCAACGGTAATAATGAGAAAAAATAACAGTAACACGGGGTCAAAACCCGTGTTGCCATATTGGACTGATAAAAAATAGCCCAACCACTTTTCATTTTCAAAGTCTTTAAAATTACAATTATTGTTTATGACATTTTCACCCATTTGAACAGATGTAAGCTTTTATAACAGAGCAATATTTTTGAACTAGGGGAAAAAAAATTTCAGTTTCTGTTGTTATGAACTGAAATGACATTTGGTTTTGACGTCATTAGCTGTCGGTCACTGCATGTCGAGCTGAACTCAGTGCCCTGTCGGTCTCAATCATAATACTCAGATGAGAGGAGGGGCAGATTTATGGGAATGCAGCCTAACTTTTTCTTGGTGGAAACGGAACAAAAAGCAGCTCAAAGAGAGTTTTAGCCAACCAGTTAAATGAAAAGAAAGAAAACCACAGAAACTGGCAGCACTGGTAGAAAACAAATCCTTGTCTTGGGTGATTTTCTACACATGGGTCCTGGGTAAAAATCAAAACAGTATTGCGTTGGTGCTATATTGACCCAAACCAGGTAAACCAAGTAAGTTTTAGTGGATGGGATTAAATGCTGAAAATAAACCTGATAAAATAGAAGTACCAGATTTCATGACGATTAGAAGTTATGTGTATAGGATTTAGATGCAAGATGGCTGCACCACAGCAATAAAGTTCAATTGCACAATAAAAATCCCTTAAAACAATATTGAGTGTGTAAAAATTGTCGTCTTTATGTTGCCCATTGTGCAGCTGTGTTTTATTGCACGTTGCAGACTCCAGTTTCATGTTTTGTGTCTACCTCACTCATGCATAAATGTAACTGATGTAATGTGACATCTCAGTGTGTTCATGTTGAATAACAGTTGTGTGATCTAAACAAACAGAAGAGGAAACAGATTTAGGAAGAACAAATTCATGAGTCCTGTTGAGCCATGTCTCTTTGAGATTAAACACAAAATCACTGCTCAGACTGACTTTTGAAACATGTTTCTGTCCTTGCCTCAAAAAAAAAAAAAAATCTAAAATAGATGATCCAGAAACAGGAAGGATGTAAAGCGTTTTTTCAACATCATCTGGGAGCGCAGTCCTGATTCCCAGATGGGTGCTTATCTTCGGGATTTTGTAGTCTTGCCAGAGAGCTCTTGTTAGAAACAAACCTGCACATGGTAATATTTTAATAGCTCTTGCTCTCAGAGTCTGTTTCAGCATGTTTCAAACACTCACTGGCTGGGGAGATGGCCCCTCACTCCACCTGCATGTCAAAAATATTAATGATTCTGAGTCACTTTTGTGGCTCAAGACTCAGATACCTCACTTCCGATGTAACTGAACATGACCGCTTTTCCGAAAAGAGGAGGAGGCGGAGGAGGAAGTCTGTCTGCCTGACCGTCAGCCGAGCTTCTGTGGGGGGTGGGGGTGGGGGTGGGGGCCCTGTCTGAGGAGCTGATTGTGTCTCCTCAAACATACAAGAACAATTGTTTTCATGTGCCAGAGACTTTGGCAAGGCCTTCAGACAGAGGGAGGATGATGGAGGGCTGCGCAGTGAATAGGAGGGGTGGGTGTGGGGAGTTGGTAAGAGGAAATCCCTGAGAAGAAATTAGGGAACAATACAGATCGTCGGAACATAGCCCCGTTCTGCTGCAGGCTCCGACAATCAACCCCTAGTACTCAGCAGCCTGCCAAGGAGGCAGAGGTGAGAATCCAGCGATACCGACTTAAAGGGGTTTTCGCTTCCTTAAGTAAACAATTGAACAGGCAGCATGATGCAGCTCTGCAGCCTCAACTCCTCCACAAAGGCAGGACATCATGTCAGGCAGTTACAGTAATATCCAATAGACCTAAACAAGATGTAACGGTAGAAATCCCTGTATTCTGAGTGAACATAAAAGTGCTCGTCGGTGTGAATTGGATGTTTATTATAAAAGATGTTTGAGATGTGTGTGTGTGTGCTCCTTCTAATTAAGAAGCGGGTTTTGATTTGACAATTTACTGAACCAGTCTTATATTGTTGTTTTACTACATGTGAGATATCAGTCAGCAGTGCTGCAGGAAGTATTCAGATCCTTCACTGAAGTAAAAGCAATAATGCAACATAAAAATCCACTCCATTTCAAGCTTAAGTTTTTTTTTTTTCTTTTTTTTTTTACTGTTTTGTGGTTTGATCTATAAATGTCATATTTGATAAACTTAGACTTGTCTATAGCAGTCAGATAAATGCAGTGAAGTTAAAGGAGAATATTTCCTTCTGACTA